CAAACTTGGATCCTTGTACTTGAGAGGCAGGCAGCAGAACCACAAAGCCAAATCCCCAGCCCCTGTTATAAAATTTTTTAAATAATTAAAAATCAAGTTGCTAAAGGACACATACAATGTAATGTCAAAAAAACTGTATTACACATATATAATCATATCTATATGTATGACTATCTGCAAATATATCTGAAATCTATAGCTATTATCATACACACTTATAAAGCAAATTTGTCTCACAGACAAAAGACAGAAAAAATTTATCTCAAATATGGAGGTAAGAAACAGGTAGTTGAAGGGTTGGATTAATTAGGAACCACAATAGAAGCAATGAATAAGCAATGTATAACTTTCAGCATCTACTCTGACTCTGTAACACAAGTCTATGGACTTAAGGAATGACTGTTTTCCTTGATACAGAAAACGCAAGTTGAGGAAATGACTCAGAATATCATAAAAGAATGAAATGATAAAATATATGAGATTGATACAGCAAAGTGAGAAGGCAGATATTCTCATATCTATATAATAATTCCAGAAATTAACAAGAATATAAAAATAGGTGGTAATAGCTGAATAATATCCAAGAACTTTCTAAAAATATAAATATTCACAAATTGTAAAAGTCCAGAGTCCCAAGGAAGAACAAAAGGTACCTCTAGGCAAACTATGATGACATTCATGAATAAGAAGAAATGAGAAAATCTTGACTTACCAAAGCAAATATAAAAGCAGACAAACAAAAGCATACACAATAATTAGCATAGCTCTCTGATCATGATGCAATAAATTTAGAATTCAGATAAAAATTTAACTTCAAAGGTATATATTTGAAAACTGAGATATGTATATTTGATTAGTCCATGGCATATAAAAAGAGGGGAGTGATAAAATAAGTAAATAAGAAAAATGTGTGTACATAAAAATAGAGAATTCAACCAATGGAGTACGTAAAATGCAATTCATAGATTTGGATGAATTTAAAAAGTGAGAAATAGCACAACTATTCAGAAAACCACCAGGTGGTAGAGTTATTAGAAACTTTAAAATGGCCATGATTACTGTCAATATAAAATTATAAAATAAAACTAAGAATTTTGGCCAAGAACTAGAAACTGGGAGGGGTGAGGAAGGTTACAAAATTTTTGAAAAAGAATCCAATAACTCTACAAATAAAAAAATAATGAAATTATTAAGAATAGATGAACTTAATATCAGGCTAAACAGATTAAGTGTTAGTGAAATAAAACTATATCAGAAGACATATTCAGAATAAAGCAAAGACACAAAAATACAGGTTCAAATGAGACAAAAATATAAAGTATATCTTATGAAGCCCTACATATATATACATGTATCTCAAGTAAGGGGATAACAGCATAGGGTAAAAGCAGTATCTGAAGAGATGATGACTGAGAATTTCCCAGAATCCACAGAAAATGTCAAACTACAGATTCAAAAGACTCTATGAAACTCAGCAGGAAAGAGAAAACTACATCTAGGCATACCACAGAAAACTACTGAAAAATAAAAAGATAAAACTATTAAAAGCAACCAGAAGGCAAAAACAAAAACAAACCACACACAAAAAAAATTATTTTAAAGTAGCATTAATAGGCTTGCAGCAGATCAGTGAAAACTATGGAAGCCAGATAATGTCAAATAGTACCTTCTTCAAAAATACAAAACAAAAACTATTACAAATTAGAATTCTATACCAGGGACATAAAGTGGGAGTTGGCAGCAGAGCTCTGGTGCTACAAACTAAAATGCAGGAAAGGGTAGGCTGGGTGAGCAGGTGGATTGGCCAGCAACTAGGGAGCCAACCCCCAAAGAGCGAACCTTGCCATCTACCCTTTACTCTTCAAACCAACCACCTATCTAGTCAACTCAAGCCCATTCAGGTTTAGCCTGTCTCTAGCCCACCTGCCACAGCTGTGGTGGCAGTCCTGGGAGGAGCACTGGCATCCATTTCCTTTGATCCTTGGGATTTGAAGATGGCTGCCCAGTCAGCACTGAAAATTGTGCTAAAAAGCACCACCCACCAAGATGTCTCTAAATAAGCACTTTACTAATACGCAAACAGCCAATGCCAGTAAATATTTGGGCTTCGATGAAGCAACAACAGCAGCTAGGCAGTGCCAGAAACAAAAAACAGGCCCAGTAGATGGAGAATAGACCTTCTGTCCAGGAAGCATTAAAACTTAAGCAGAGCTTAAACCAGCACCTGATTAAGAGTAACACCCAGGCATGGTTAGGCTGACCCATAGGGGCCCTGGCCAGGGGAGCCATTGGAGGACAAGGCCTGCCTACAGTCCAGAGAGGCTTGCCCAGAGGAGGACTGCATGGGGACATGCCACCAGCACCCTGCTTAGGGGCGGGATGTCATCTGAGGTCAAAATCTGTTTTGAGGTGGAAGAGCTGCTGTTCAAATGGGCTTAGGAAGAAGTGGTATTCGAGGTCATGGAGGTCCTGGGAGAGGGGGCCTAGGGAACTATGGGTCAGGGAGAAATCAGTGGTAGAGGTCAGGGTATGATAGGTCAGGGAGGAGGGGGCTTTGGAGACCGAGGCAGAAGCTGTAGACAGGGAAGAGGTGCCCTTACTCACCCAGTCCTGACCAAGGAGCAGCTGGACAACCAACTGGATGCCTATATGTCGAAAACTAATGGGCACCTGGATGCTAAGTTGGATGTCTACATGGCACAGACAGACCCTAAAATGAATGACTGAAGCCAGCCTACCCTTCTGAGAGGGACTTGTTAAAAGGTACCATATCTGTTAGTAACCTTGGATGACAGATAAGAAGAAACTTGACTGATGCTAGAAGGACTCGCCTGTCATACACTCTGACATCCTAATGTTTCCTGTGTTTGCCTCTGTAACGCTACCTAAAGGTCTCAGAAAGAGCCAGTGTTCCTCAATGCCCTGGTTTCTGAGTTGGAATTGTGTTGTACATCCTCTATACTTGGCTCTTAGTGTTAAGAAAATCTGGAGCTCAAAAATGCATTCAGCTGTATTGCTACTGTAGAAGCACTGACTTTG